CGATGTTCGAGAAGTATGCGCTCTAGACAACTCGAGTCAACATTGTTATTGGTTAGTACGGAAAAATGGATTTTATGTATCTGTACATAATACATCATTTACAGATAAGAATTATCGTTTTATAAAATCTTGGTGATGAATATATGTAATATCCATGAAAAAGTAAATAAAAATAGATTGTTTTTGAAATATCCATGTTTAGGTAGGAAATGAAAAGACAAAAATACAGGGCCTGTCTTGCCATTATCCAAAACTAAATAGCAGCTGCAACAAAAGCATGAGAGGTGATTATCGATAACCCATCTCGACAATTCTTTCGTGCCTGCATTTCAATGAATTTGTTAGAGCCGATGGACTATGTATATATCAATCGACAATCGTATCGTAAGAAGTCTCACATCAAAACTACTAAATTTTAAAACCATCTTAATATGAGGTTGAGTTTTCTAGGGTTTTTTAAACATCAAATCCTCAATTCAAGGTAATGATCATGCATTTAAAATCCAAATAATGGTATATTTTTATTTAGTATCTTATTGTGTGTTGATTGGGTTGATTTTTCTAAGATTAAAATTAATGGTGCCATTGATCAATAGTCGTAGTCTATGATTGTGATACTGTTTGACAACAATTGGTACAAACCGAATATTATGGCATCATAACGGCTTTGATCAAACCAATAAATAATGTGTTGATTAGAAGCTAAGATATAAAAAGATAATCAAATGAACATTGCTAAATAGAAGCTTGAAGCTTCATCAATGACACTGCCATCTCAAACATTCCAATACACAGTGGCGGACAAATTTTTTTGTCGAGCGGGTGCTCCTTTAACTTGGATCAAATACCCGCAAAGCCTCTCGATGTGTTTTTAGATGAATTCTTTCTTTGGATGATTTATTTAAAAGTTTTTTGGTTGATTTCGTTGGACATTTTTTTGGTTTTTTGGTTGATATGGGAGAATTTTTGGTTTTTTTAATTGATTTCAAGATAAATTTCGGTTTTTTATCTGATTTAAAAAGAATTATTTGATTGACTTCAAGAGAATTTTTTAGTTTTTGGTTGATCTCAAAAGAATTTTAATAACACCCTAATCTTTAGACTATTAATTCTAGTGAAAATTCAGTATAAACATTATTAAGTGTCAATTATTATCTACCATCTTAATCCTTTTTATTTTTTATTTTAGTCTTTTTAATTTAAAAAATCATTGACATAATATATTTTATTTTTAATTAAAATAAATTTTATCAATAATTTTTTTTAAGTGTAAGTACTTTTTTGGTATATTTATTCATTTTATTGATGTAAATATTTTGTTGGTTCAAAAAGTGTTTGGGACTTAATCTTCAACATATAAAAGTCAATTGGTTTTTTTTTTAATAGTTTTTTTCCATTATTTTACCACATTAACTAATAGGTCATAAGAATGTATCTAACATATTTTAGAAAGTCCAAGAAGTTATTTAACAGGTTTTGTAATGTTCAAAGACTTATTTGTTCCAAAAAATTATTCATTGACTTAAATATTCCAAATATTAAAATCCCTTAGGTTTTTTGGATTTTTTCCTAATTAAAAATAATAACTATATATATATATATATATATTAATTATATAACTAAAATAAACTATAAATAAGATCAAACATATTTTAATTGCACCAGTGAAGTAATTTTTTAAACTTATCGTTGTCGTGTAAATGTTTGTGAAAGGGACAATATGTCTAGTGACCCGTGACCAAATCTTGTCCTAAACCAATTTCCTGGTTTCATTTTCTAAAATATCGTAATTTACTTGTAAATTAATAATTACTGGATATTATAATTTCACCGTAATATTATCATTGAAACTAAAGGACCGTTTACCAAACACTTACCTGCTAAGTGCTTACCGGTAAAATTTATCACTATTATTTATTTGACGGGTAAGATTTTGGTCTACCAAAACGACATTGTATGCAACAATTTACCCGGTAAGCACTTACCGTGGTAAGAGTCGTTGTCCTCACTTACCGGGTAAGACTCTTGGTCCTTGTCTCACTCTTACCGGGTAAGATTCTCGGTCCTTACCATATTCATCCGGTGAGATAATGTTACTTGGTAAACGCTTCCCGGATAAGTGTTTGGTAAATGACCCCTAAATCTCCATTGAAACTTTTCTTGCATCTTATCGGTTACAAAGAAATTAATAAAAAAAGAGATGTTAGAAAAATCCAATAAACTTTTTCAGTTTAAGTGATGAGTCCATGAATTATTTTTCTATATGAAAAAATCACTAAGTTTTCTCATCTTGAATTATTAAGCCGTAAACATTTTTTTTATATAAATAAACAATCGAACTTTTAAAAATTGGTATCTCTATTTTTAACAAAA